GGACATTCAATCTCAGGTTGAGGCCGGAATAAACTACGTCTTTAAGTCCGTCTCCTTTTGACGTTTTTATACTCGTGAAGAGTATGGTTTCGTCGACCCTGGGCTATTGGGAAAGAAAGAGTGTACGAGACATGCACATTGGCGTCCCAACCATACGGCTAGGGTTACTATGCAGTCTCTTACTGCTAAAAAAGCTCCACAAACTCGTTTTGTCACCGAGTCGTAATCATGAATATGCGGCTAAAACGGTTCCTTTAAGTTCTCCTGGGTTTAAACCGCCAATTTAAATCAGCAACGGGTAAGGCGTTTCCGAATACAATATTAAATGCATCTGAGTCGCCTACTTTTCACGACAGCCGACGTGTCATCGAATATATCTGGAGCTTGAAACATACTGGCACAACGTGTAAACTCCTACGTAACTCTACCGTAAGGGAATAAAGCATGTGAGGCCTGGGTCTCATACAGTGTCGCCAAGATGGACGACTACCGATCGAACTAGCTAAGTCACCACGGCCCACCGACCTCTACTAAGATAGCACTTAAGGAATTTCCACCTCTACCCGCCGGTTCAAGATAGCACGTTATCCGTTGGGCAATGCGCCCATCGAGGAGACGGGATCGCGACTGTTTAACGCTTCCTTGATAAAGAGTTCTGAACGGATAAAGAAGTCTCCAGGAAATTCCAATAGGGTGGCAATTTACCGGCTTAACCCTAGAATGGAGGTGGCATAGGTAACAATAACCGTGTGAAAGTGCGGTCGATTAGCTACACAGGGTTGTCAATCACGAAGCCCTTGAAGGGAACAATGTCCCTTAGCTCTAAGAATTTAGGGGCGCCTTCGACACCGCCACATGATGATGGCAGATAAAAGCGCGCTATTATTGATTACGGCTTAGTGATTCGTTGATTTGTTGCAATTCTGTTACGCCTAGGGATTGCCTGGTCATTGCTCCCGTAGGCCCATGCTGGGAGAACGACGCACATTTGCGTCCTCCCTCGTCACGAATACCCACAGGTACGCGGCTCAGTAGCATTTCTGAATTCGACCGTTTATCCTCGGGAAGTCGGGCCCCGAGTCAGTCTTCACGATTTATCCCCAATTCATACACTTATCATAGTTAGAGACAGGAACGCTCAGTGGGCGAGGACTTTACGACCTAATTGGAATGCACAGCTAGAATGAATGATCGTTGACACCCACGGAAGACGAACCAGCGAGATTGAGAAATCACCAAGTGATGAACTGTCAATGGTAAGTCTGTGTTAACGACGCGCTAAGAATGAGTCAAAACAAAGTACAAATGGAACGTGAATAAATACGAGTCTTTCGGGGCATTCGGTCGTAGGGCGCATTCTGAGCTAACGTTCACTATACAGAGAGGACGGGTTAGCTTGTGTACCGACAAGGTTTTCGTTTCAATTGGATATTGCGCACAATCTGTTACCGACACAGATGGCCTGGCTGATAGTAGGAGCGCCCATCGTCCATCCCGGTTCTGAGTGACCGCTACGCTACGGAGAATGTACGGCAAACTCCTCTAGTTTCCTATGATGAATAGGCAAGGCAGTCAAAGAACACTACGCGTGTAACATAACACGGTCGAGTCCGATTTAGAAAGGATTCCGTCGGCGACATTTTCCAGGGATGACCCGTTCATTAATTGAGTCCTGGCATGGGGGTCAGGCACAGAACCAGAGTTAAGAGACTTTCGTTGAGCGGTGCTGTGGGAGTATGCCCGCTGGCCAGCTGAACAGCCCCATATAAGGCGTCCCCCAGCATTGGAACGTATACGTCCATTTCCAGTCCACGTAAGTGGCAGCGCCGCTACACAAACAATCTTCAGGGCTGTACTTCGCCCCCTGTTTCGGGGTTTCATTTGGGCTCTTGCATTTCAGTTTCGTGCGGAGGCGCGCTCCACTATACGGAGCTCAGATGGACGCTGGACACGCACCCTATTCGCGCGGGGTCTACCAATATTCCTAGTTAGTAAAGTCCCCCGAGCATCCATACCGCGTTAAGCTCATAACTCATACGGCACGCTTTGTGAAACCAATTTAAGTGATTTCTCGAGTTTTGTACTGCTAAGTTCACATGCTAGTCCATGCATCCGAAAAGAGACACTTACTGTATAATATAGCGGAACCACTTGACCGCGATAGCCCCACTATCCAGCTTCGTTAGTTATGGAGACAAAGACTCGTTGTAGTTTAATAGTGTACTCATAGGGTAGACAGGGTAAACTGCTCAGCTGTTGAAAGCTCTAGAGGAACGACCTCATGACGTCGGCAGCTCTGGCGACGGCCGGGCTGGTAGCACCTTCATGGCAAAGGGTAGCTTCTCAAAGCGAACAGCTACGCAGATTAGAATCGTTCAAGCCGTAGGAACATTAGGTCACGGAACTTGGCTCGGGGGAACCCCCGGCGTGTCATGCTTATCGTTAAGGGCACTCAAATATTTTAGATACTTCGGATGCCTATGCGCCACCGTATGTGGGGTAAAACCATTAAGCATCGGGTAATGTAGGGTGACCTTGTCCTGATCCCTAGACTGTTGTCCTTGGGTTACGCCAGACGAAAAAACCCTTCTTGAGTGGCTGATCTTATCTTAGTAATAGAGGGGAGGGGAGATCCCGTCTCCATGACTGCTGCAACTCCGTTCTAACTAGCCTATGCCTCTCAGTTATTTAACGGGTAGCCATGGTGAATGCGTCCCTGAGACCCGGGCATGGAAATAATACGTAAAGAATACCACCTTTCCGGTCAGCCAAGGTGCATAAGTGCTCTATTTAAGGTTCAAGATCCGGTCAGGGTATAATCCCTTTAATCTAAACGAATACTAGCGTCTCAGATTTAAGTCTGGGCTGCGGAACCAATCGTCCGCAAGTCTCATGAATGCCCAGTCCTGGGCCCAGGCTCTTCTAGGGTCGAAACATGGCCACTGACTGTAGACCCAAATAAGCTCCGTTCGAACCTTTCTTTCTTATAGTCCGCGTATCGCGCATAGCGAACGCAACGGATGTGGTAATTTACGTCGATGAGGGGTTAACTCCTTCGTGTATTGTTGTTACATCAGTCAAATGAAACAACTCACACAGGTGTGATCATTTGTAGTTATACAGCTAATCTTCACGGACTGGGGAATAATGATTAACTGTGCTCGTAACTATACGATGAGTACGACACCATTGGCGTTGTTGTTGCCTATATTCGAGTGATGTCATACTTATCCTCAAGGTTCTATAAATTGTACGGTTCTAAACGTTGGACCGCGTGCTCTGGTGAGCCGCTACTCTATTTGCTTCCTATATCGCTAAGTCTAGCCGATTAATCTCGCTATCCTTACCGTCATATCAGCTGTCCGTAAATATCGAATTAATGTCCAGCGATAGTGTGTTACTTGTGGGTCTCGCTTGGGACGATACACAGGCGTTCCCCCGGATTAAGGTTACCATTCTTCTGCTAGGTCATATCTTAGGGACGAGAAGAAAGAGGGGCTATAACATGATGGCGATCCAGAATAGACCACTGATACCCACAAAACATACTACGATGTCACGCCTTGGGTTGGGGGGGGTCGGAGTGGGAGCCTACCATCAATGTGCGTTCAGTCCTGTTCTTGAACTGCATTAGTAACGCCCATAGAGCGAGGCTACCCCGGTTCAACATGGATGAAGACTAGCGGAGTGCACGGTGTCCGGGAGTCATTATGGGGAGTCTCTTCGTACCACCTACTGCTCTATGATGCATCATGAGAGATATGTGAGGGATATGGGATAAGAAAGCAGTGGTAGGGTCGTTCCCTGTTCGCACCGTTCCTGCTTCCACTTCTCCCCTGCGTGAAGGGTGTATCGCCCGCGCGCAATTTGCGACACTGTAAATTCTGAAATCGCGCGAACTCAAGATACCGTCATAAATACGAAAGCCACCAGTTTAAGGTGGTCACTAATATACGGTTTACCCTTTAGCTCATTTAAGCCCCCAGTCGGTCGATAGCGCAAAAAAGGGTGTATGTCTCACTCGGAAACAGATATCAAGCGAGTTATATGGAGTCTTTCTTGTCCTAGAATGGCTAGTGATGGACTACAGGTGAGCTATTTCAGACACAAGGTGATTGTGGCTTGCCCATAGGCGTTAGGATCTTGAACTGATAAATATGTGGAAGAATGACAAGTAAGGGACACTCTTTCTAACCTCGAGCGTGCCGGATAGCACGCGGACGGTCCGGGAAGACGAGACCGGTGATAAGGATGCCGGGGTTCCTATGACAACGAACCCCACGGCGAATTACACCAACTACGTGTGCGCATGGACTCCTATCTGAGGCCCATCCGGTTAAATCGACGATCGCAGCAGCCCGTAGCCATGAAAAGTATCTTACTCGTTCACCTCCCAGGGCACGTAATACCCCCGACCTCGATGTTAGGCACAACATGGGCATTGATCAAAGCCTCCCAGGACATTCGCGACAGCACCCCATTCCCGAGGTAGAATTTGGCATTAGTTCAGCGGAGAGCGATAGAGGGACGTCCAATTTTCCGATAGTTCTGTCTATTTCCTGGTCGCCCAGTATTTAGTTAGTGATAGTACTCACCACTCTGCGGTGAAGTTCACGTCCCGGTTGAGTTGGGAAAAGCTGCCCGATGGTTGCGCCCCGGCGTGTTAAGTCTTGGTGGGACGTCCAGCCGTCTCTGTGAGATATCACCTAGGGAGTAGGCATTGACGCCTTAGCGAATGGATTTGGCAACAGGTGGCAAATCCGCCTCATATTCCTGTAAATTTAAAAGGCGGCCATTACCACATCCTCCGTAGGATTTCGATGTTCAGTTATAATGGCTTCCCGTATCCATAGGTCTCTTAAAGTCGTATATGTTAATGTGCCTGGGCCATAGCCAGTTGAATGATAGCACACCCGGGGTGTGTCAATTATCTAAGTGCGAACCCCCACGGCCTGAGTAATAGTCATTCGAGTTCCGTACCAGCCAGCAGCACCGTAGCCATGGCGAGTGTAAGTTACACAGAGGGAGCGATGCTCACTAGGTGATGCCATCCTAGCAAACGAAGTGGAATAGCACGCGTGGGGCAAAGTTGCCCGGCGACTTTTTGTCAAGCCCAATACTTTTCAATGTCCAGTTAGATCAGATGCATGGATCAGGCGTTGGGAACAGCGGCATTCATCAGTACGTTGTGCCAAGTACAAAGCTGCGGTAACGTCAACGAGCCGTAGAACAAGGAAGCATAAATCGTTCGACACTCGGGGTACAAGGTGGAGACGTAAGAAGTCTTTCTTTCGCGCTAGTGGTAATCTAAGGCCTAACGCGACAGGGAAACACTGCAATTATACCGGAAGAGTCAAATCTAAGCGGAATTAGACTACAAAACGATTATGCGGCCGGTTACAGTGGTGTGAGAGAACGTGCGCGTCATAGTGTTGGGAGTTACCTGTAACTTGTCGAATCGATCTGGGGCCTAGTGGGCCAAGATACCCCCAGTCTTGCACTGGTAAGGTCAGTTGAATGCATTCCGTGCGATTGGAGTCGGCGATCGAAAAAACTTCACTATTTAGTCGGATGTGTGCACCCAGTCGCCAAGAATATGTGCTCCCTGGCAACCCCGGATCCGAATCTTCCATCCGTTGGCGCGGACAGGGGAAGTCACGACAACACCCTACGTCAGGGCGGATATCAAGGCGGTGAGCAACTTCAATGTGGCATAGGCCTTTCCATACAGCCAAGTACTTCGCGATACTATAGTTTGTCTAGATAATTAAGGAACCTTTAAAGGCTCATGACAACCCTGCGCCCCTCATAGCCTGCACGGAGGTGTTGGGTGAATAATCAATTATCGATAGAAAAGAAGGGCAGGATGTCCTAAGAATCTCGTATTGGTAAGTTCGACTGTCGTTAGACTTGCGCACCCTCCGTCAGACAGCAGGGCCCCCTAGCGGCGGGGACATAACATAATCATTATGGGGCCGTGAAAGATTAGAACAAAGCCGAAGCTCACATTCTTCGAAACAGACATTAAAATTAACGCTATCCCCACCGGGCAGCATGTTAGTCTAATATTGCTCTAGTAATCCGGTTCATACAGAGAACGAGTGCATCATCCAGCTACACAACGCTCCGAGTTGAGTATTTCCTAGCCTGAACTGTTTGCGCAGAGTCCTTGGCGGTACATATAACATGCTCAACAATCCTAAGGCCTTGCATCTACCCTCGGTCTAGTGATTTGCCGCTCTATGTCTTCCCCAAGCTAAACAAAACTCCGGGGGTTTCCCCCACGCATCGATACTTCGGGTATCAACACCTGCTCTAGAGCCGGGAATATTTATTGGACAACTTGCGATTGTAAGAGCCTAGCCTTAGTCACGGAATGATATCTTGGCGGCGTAAGTACTTCGAAGGAACCATGTGCATGAAATCGGGTTATCGGACCTGTACGCGTGTAAATGGGAACTTTCGGCCAGGAGACACCCAACTCGTTGCTTTGCTCAGTCACGCATCTTCGCTATGGCCCGGGTAGTATTCTGATTACGGTTCGGGTAGTTCCCGCCTAGATCTGAGCAATCTACCCCCGAGACCCCTAGGGCCACAATAACTAGGAATAGGGTAGCCTTCTGAATAGGAGTCATCATGTCTCCAAGAAGAATGTGGTAAATTCCCAAATTGAATGCAAGAGTGTCCAGCGGACTCATAAAACGTGTAGCCCTTTGGTGACGGAAGATACCGACTTTGCCCACGAACAGATAACGATTCGCTGCTCATGGAGCACTGAGACTGTTCCCGAACACAAGCCACATTTTCTCGAAGGTGGAGAGCTTATCAAGTATTGCTACATTGACAACAATGTACTCAATAAAACTTCTATCTATAAATAGTTAGCCAACTGTGCGGCGCGACGGACTCATAACGCGGATCATCTTGCGGCTATGTCACGCCGAGGTCGGTCGTCCCCGCCACCACTCGAACAATGATGATGCTCTGATCGCAATCCTTAAATATTTGACCACAGGTGACGGGGTATTGCCATCTGCTAAGACTGCACCTGACTCCATCCGTACCATTTGACACTTCCTGTATCATCTCCCAAATACTATTCAAGTTCTATAGAACGGATGTTTTAATAGCAAGTAAGCTTGCATGTCATGGAACTTTCCCAAGGTTCCAAGGGGAGTCCACTCTAGGAACCTCTTTCTAATGATTATCGTTTCAACTGGTAGATGGTCATTACGACTAAGTATATAAAAGTTTCACGACTTAGAGGTTTCCGCTATGGCACAAAATTCAATGGCGCTGCGCACAGTGCTGTATGAACGAGAGTTAGTATGACACAGCGTACTTATTTAAGATCGTTCGCCGCAGATATGCTTTCACCAAGCACGAACTAAAGCAGCACGCAGCATTTTGACCCGTTGTTGATGATCGTGGTCACAGATCCCCGCACGGTGAGCAAGGAGTCTTGATAATGTCTATGGAGCAGACTCAGTGACACTTCGCGTGTACTCAAAATCTCTGTTTAGGTCGCCTCCACCAACAAGCCCAGATTCGTCCACGTATCCGCCACAATTGGGTAGTTTGACGGATTAGGAAGGTATGCTGGCAGGGATGAATAGTATTATGAAATCCCGACATATCAGGATTTTATCCCTGCGACAGGCCTCTAAAGCCACGATCTCACACCATGGCTAGGACGCAAACCTGAATATCTGGCAGTTCAGGAAATTTAGTTGTTCTCTGTATGGAGAGTTGTAATTTTGCCGCCATTTCAGAGAGGACCATAATACCAAGTAACTCGCTCGTAGTCTGCTACGAATTGATTGTCTGAGTAAAATCATCCATCCATGAGTCGGACTTTCGAATTGCGCCCGGCGACATTGTAAAGTGCTGGAACGGCGGTAAATCCGTTCTCCTCCGTAGGGAGTTTTAACCCGGGCAACCTAGCAGTCCAGTGCTTAGCGTAGAACTTAGGCGCCATAATAGGATACACGGGTATCCCTAACAACGATCAGTGTGGCCAAGGTTTAAGTAAACCTGAGTAGTGCTTGCAGCACCCGGGTCTCATTACGGGCAAGTAGATAATAGCAAGTAGTAGATTTAGAGTAGCTGTATTGTAGGAGGTATAGACATGTCGTTGGTGGGCTTGAAAAGTCCATTGACCATTTTTAGGTAATGTGACGCAATCGTCATTTGGCTTAAGCATAACGAGTGTAATGATAGGACCACCAAACGTAGCTGTTGCTGGATAGTTCCCTAACTCGCCGGTGTAATCTATGGAAAACTTCTCAGCCATTGAAAGAGCTAGTCAGCGACACAATCACGGTGTTACGATTCTATGGAGCCGTACTGTAATCGTAGTACTCGGTGAGATAAAAACGCAGTACGTTGTGATCCAGCTCGGCCTCTATGCTTAGACACCCTTTACGCGCCGCGCCCTTACCACGCTTCTATAGGCGAGTGTAACTGCACTGGCGGGAACACCCAGCGTGAGGCTGCTCCCAACTTTTCAAGAATGTTTTTGCGTTATCTTCCGGCACAAATGGGCTCTAGCGTAATGCCGTTAACCGTTATTTGATCGCCCAACTTCGGACGCCGCTGTATCTACTTCTTAACTACGCATTTGTCCGGTGGTACGGAAAGGAGTGGCCTTTCCTTAAGTTATATGAAGGGCGATCAATTTACGCATGTCACATTAAGGTTGGAAATGGAGCGTAAGCCGAGGTGTACCAATTGAGACAAGGAACGGGTCTCCCGCGGAAGTTCTCGATGATTGAACTCGAAAAGAATATAGGGCTTTTATACCGTTTGGTCGCTTAGCTGTGCCGAGAACTCGACACGTTTAATTCAAATAACCCGGTATGTCTGTTACATAATACGAGTATTTACATGATGTGAAGGTCTGGCGTCTTGATATCCGATTCCTATGGGTATGGTGTATCTCAGAGACGGTTAGTACACTGGAACTGATGGGCCGGTTCATTTATACAACACTACCCTGTCTCGAACGAGCAGGTAATCTCACACTGCGTTTCCTGGACCCCTTGACGACGTAAGATTACTGCTAGGACCAAGTATGCGGAGTCCCACTATAATTAATACGACCCCCCACGGCGGCTAATAACCCAGCTACTCTTACGGTGAATGAGCGATTCAAGCTGCTCGTGCAATGCGCACGACGAGTTAGCAATTGGATGGACCAGCCGAGTGACTCTTTATCACCCCCCTCATCCGGGTACTAATCCAGGATGAGAACCCTGTACAACGTATACACTCATCCGAAAATCGATAATGGGAGAATTTTCCAACAATGGTCCGGTTGCGGGTTCGATCTGAGCTGTAGCCTAGATGGGCGCCGGACAGTGACATAGGGGAATACAGTGGGATCACGGTTTCGAGTATAAATATGATTACCACGCCTAAGAATGTCGTCGCGACCTGAGAAGCCAGGTTCTAACCGATCTCAGGGTCCAGTCGGTGGCGTTTTTATCGTTGTTAGGTAGTACATAGTACTTTTTACGGAGAAATGAGGCAACACCTATCGTTCTGACGGCTAACTTCGGGTTTATTAGAGTCTCTGCAGACAGTATACGTTAGTTAAGAATTAAGCACATTACCTGAACTGCGAGGCCGACTTTGGGCCCTAGCGTTAGCTCTTAGGATATTGTCTCAGTTATTACCACCTATTTGGACAGACCATCACCAGGCTCTGGCGTGCAATCGCAAACAGTTGTCCGGTAGTCAATGAAACGAGAACGCGATATTTGGGAGGATAGGGAGCTATCAATATTCAACAAGGAATCCAGTCTAATCCTGGTACGGGGCACATTTCCGGACCTATCTGAACGGAAAATCCTATAACCCCCAATCGCTATCCCGAAGTGGGTCTCCAATACCCGACACGGGCCGTGATATTCACATGATGTGACAGCTTTAAAGGAGGCAGATTGAGCTCAATTATTCTTCAGGGCGTACTTAAACCACCTGATCCGACACAAATATAAGTTCCCCTTCTCCAAGGTCGTCGCAGAAGCGCAGTAGTGATATTCCGTGCTAACACCGGCCCAGCCGCTTAGCTCCAAAGTCTTATCTTAGAAGGTTTAGTGACCTACTCAGCGGCTTGAGATTAGTTCCAAGGTAGTGCAGTGTCTTAGTTGGGACAACATTCCATGCGTGCAAGTAGGCGGCGGTTTTGATGTGCTGAGGTTATTATGAGCATCGGGGGCGTGCTCTGCGCCTTGAATGTCGGTATACAAAGGTTGTCAGTGACATTCATGTCGCGGGCAGGGATATTTACCTGCACGATGATAGACTCGCTCATGCTGTGTGAGCTAAAATGGTTTATGATGATAGTTTACCAGACCGTAGCGTGGGTAGCAAGCGGGTGCGGAGAACCGAGTGTACACATCAACTTCAGGCATAGCCGCCAGCTCGGACCTTGCTACTTTGTCTACCGACCTTAGCTCAAAATAGGGGGAAGACAGAACTTTCTCATGACGTTGCGAAACCCTATGTGAGTTGGATGGAGTGGAGGGCGGATAAACTCGAAGAGGACGCAGGAGGGCGACCTATATAGTAATCTGAACGACTTACAATTCGGGATATCACGGTAATTCCTACGTATTTGTCGCTGGGAAGCAACACTGCAGGTGTGCCGTTAAAAGCTCACTAGAAGAGCCCGTATTCATCGTGACGGAAGAAGATTCAGATTCCTAAGCGACAACTCTCTAGCAGGATGGCGGATTCCACACGGTTGCGATGCGAAATACCTAAGCATCATCTAACACCCCCAGAATCAACAGAGTTAAGTCCGCCGCTGGAAGCTAGAGACCGTAGTTTGGCCCATACAGTTGGCGCCCGAGGATCCCTTCAGATTTTAAACGCGCTTATAGGGCAGGAACTTGGGACTTCTCAGAGAAATTGTTGGATGCGAGCGCTTGCTATTATACCGAGATTGCCCTGTCTCTGCCATGTCTTTTCATGCATAGAGTAAACACACCTGCCCCTCACGATTGAAACCTCGCAGATTGGTATCGTGACTTCCACTTAGAGTCAAGTACCACTTGACCTCGGCGATAGCATACAGATGTACAAAATCAGCATGGAACATAAAAGGTTGACTCCGGGTAATGAGCGTTAGAGTGTCGAGGGATATAGTTATCCCCGTGCCCATGCAATGCACTACAGTACTTGTTTCGATTGTGATGTGAATTTTATATTCTTATTCTTGGTTCTTTCGGTAAAGTCACGTAGAAGGGAAATAATAAAATAATAATAAAAAACGATAAATATGCCTCGAAGCCCTATGTTAATCCAAAACTCGAAGCATACAATTTCGGTTGTCTGACTAGAAAATGAATATTTATGAAAGCTAAATTCAGCTAACAAAGCAAAGGGTGTTGAAAATAATACTGTTTGTATTATGCATAAATTAATGTTCAAACGAAACTTAGAGGTGTGAAGCCAGGCTTAAGTATTGAATATCGCACTTTTAGCTTTCGCTCAGCAATTTCCAAGAAGGTAATTTATTTTCTGTCGATCGAGTACAGAAGAGGAGTACGGATTTTTAGCGGAAACTCGATTTCTGCATTTTTATATAATTAATGCCTATAGTATCATAAAGAGGCTTGGGGCTTTTGGTTGTTTGTTTCGGGTCCAGTTCCACTTGTTGGAGACTCAGTGGAACGTAGACCCTAGATGTAGACGAAGGTTTCTTAAGGTTGAACAACAACGCCGGTTCCTCTGGGGGACCCGGCTTATATTCTCTGCGGTTTGGCTGGCTCCCTCCCTTGGCCACGACCACTTTCCAGAATCCTCGAGCAGGATCTGGACCTCGACCACGTGACCACCCCTAGCCCCCACTTGGGGCCCTTCGTAGACTTAACTGGTCACGTGTCCTCTCGGGTCAACCAGAGTGCCATGGCCTTTAGTAACCTCATTCCTACGGCCGTCACTCCCACACCCTATCCTGTAGGGCCAGCACTGCATGCCAAGCGTGGTGCCATCCTGCGCTATCAATCAGCGCTCTAGGGCTGGTACGACACCCACCATAGTGGTATCCGCGATGTCGTTACACCGCACGCCGTGCCTCTCGAGGGCCAGCACGACACAGTGACATCCCGCGATGTCACTAGATCTGTAAGAGTTTATCTGTGGGGAGCGGTGGCGCAGTTATTACACTGTGTAACAAAAAAACATTTTTGTTCCTGGGTAGTGTTATTTCCTCATTGCCTATTCCTCAAAAGTACAGATTATTCCCCACAAACTTTGCTTTTTTGATCAGGACAGTGATATTTTGAAATTTACCTATTTTCAATGAGAAAACGGGCTAATTTGTGTCTTTTCGTTCACATAAAGTCCTGGTCACAAAAGCAAAGTTTGTGGGGAATAATAGCGATTTTGTATACTTTTTAGGCATACGCAATTAAAAAATAACACTTTGTACACAGGAACAAAAATTGTGTTACATAGTATTATTACTGTATTATGAATTCAATAATTTGAGTTTGATTATCTCCGACAACAAACGTGATTGATAAGTGAAAACTTAACTTCTTGTGGGTCTCGGCTATGTTGATTGATCTTCAATTAATTACTTGGTGAAGTGAGAGAAGCATTCATATTGAGCAGATGAAGGTGGCCAGGCATGGTTCTGGACACACCACCACCTTTTTACCATGCCAGTGTGTAACAGTGTCAAGTTTGTATTTGCAGTAAAGTATATTAACTCTATTGAACACGGAGGTTAAATCAAAACAATAGTTTATTTTAGTTTTCCTTTGGAACTTTTTACGAAAATGAACACGACACATATGCAGCTGAAGTTAGTTCTGTTCATCCCAGCATTCAAGGAAATCTGAGCCTGGCTTCACACCTCTAAGTTTCGTTTGAACATTAATTTATGCATAATACAAACAGTATTATTTTCAACACCCTTTGCTTTGTTAGCTGAATTTAGCTTTCATAAATATTCATTTTCTAGTCAGACAATCGAAATTGTATGCTTCGAGTTTTGGGTTAACATAGGGCTTCGAGGCATATTTATGACTATTTGCCCTCATTGTTTGTCATAACAGCCCGTGTGATGAATTTGGGAATATTAATAAGTATAGACGTGTAAGTCATATGTGCCTCGATACTTACGTAGATGGTGTGGATATTCTCTTTTTTCTGTCTGCAGCTGACGCTTCCTCTGACGCTTCCTCTGCAGAATTGGTCTGATGGAGCAAAGACCCTCAGCGCAGTTTGGTACAAAAATGCAACAATGCGACCAGTGTGCATACAGCACGGATCGTCCTGGACATTTGACACAGCACCAGAGAACTCACACAGGAGAGAAACCCTTAAAGTGCACTTTGTGTGAAAAGTCATTTGCATGGCCATCAGTTCTTCAGAGCCACCAGAGAACACACACGGGAGAGAAACCCTTCAGGTGCACTCTGTGCGGGAAGGCGTTTGCCGAGTCATCACATCTTAAACTACACCAGAGAACACACACGGGAGAGAAACCCTTCAAGTGCAGTGTGTGTGGGAAGGCATTTTCAGATTCATCTGCTCTTAAAAAACACCGGAGAACACACACAGGAGAGAAACCCTTCAAGTGCAGTCTGTGCGGGAAGGTGTTTTCACAGTCATCTGGTCTTGTATTGCACCAGAGAACACACACGGGAGAGAAACCCTTCAAGTGCAGTCTGTGCGGGAAGGCGTTTGCAGTGTCATCACATCTTAAACAACACCAGATAACACACACAAAAGAGAAACCTTTCAAGTGCACTGTCTGTGAGAAGTCATTTGCATGGTCATCAGGTCTTAATTGCCACCAGAGAACACACACGGGAGAGAAACCCTTCAAGTGCACTCTGTGCGGGAAGGCGTTTGCTGAGTCATCGCATCTTAAACTACATCAGAGAACACACACGGGAGAGAAACCCTTCAGGTGCACTGTGTGCGGGAAAGCATTTGCAGGTTTATCAAATCTTAACAGACACCAGAGGACATACAATCATCAGAAGATCCCCAAGGAGTGGAGTCTGAAATCGGCTTGTGAAAGTCAAAGTGCTGCAATGAGCCCATCCCTCATGAAACCAGAACTAAATCCCAGCATGGACACTTTTAAAGGTATCAAGGTGAAATGTGAAGAGGCGAAGGTGAAATGTGAAGAAGTGATGAGCGAAGAAGTGAAGGTGAAATGTGAAAAAGTGATGGTGAAGAGCGAAAAAGTGACAGTAAACTGTGAAGATGAAGATTCAACTCCAAAATCGGACCTTCACATCGATGGGGCAACGTGAAGCAGGAGGAGAATTCTGACTGTGAGTCAGAGCGAGGCAACTCCCAACAGTTTGTGGAAGTGGAGGTGTGGGTGGACTTCTTAGACAATGCAAAGTCAAATGGAGACCCGGTAGATGTGTAAGCTTAATGAAGCTCCAATAGATTCACCTTTGTCACAGGCCTTTAATGAAAATGAACGTGAAGTCGAACACTCAATTCCTGGGTTCAGCCTGCAGAATAAGAGCGGCGAGTATTTGTTGACCTGTGGGTTGGGTAGATGAATAATCAGGATCAAGAGACAATATGCTCCCAAGTATTCCACTGTTATATTTATATTTGCATTGATATGGTGCTTGCTTTATTGCCTTAGCAACTCAGTTGTTTCATGTCTCATCACAGACACTCGAAGAGCACCTTCAAGTGGCAGCTGCCTCTGTGTGATAAGGTGACCCTGCTCGAGCCTGCATGTGGGCATGAGTCTGTCAGTAGGGAGTGATGATCGATGTGTAATCTCCATTATGTAATTTCTGGATAATGTTTGGAATTATCCAAATATTGACCATGACCCCAACATGCAATGACCTATGCGTTTTGAATGACAATAGTATGTTTTACATCCACTGTTAAGCAGACGGTGCATATTTGGTTTAATGTTACTGGAGTAGCCAGGGGTGCCTGTCGGATTTGAGCCTTGAACCTCTGTAATAAATAGAGAATGTGCTACCACTGGGCTTCCCTTAATCTGAGTGTAGGCATGACAGCCTGAATGTTTCTAACCGGAGCAGATGTTCAATTTAGAGGGGTCCACGTTTTACATGGCTACAGAAGGGAGGGCATTACTGTGGCCGAGAAGAACCGAAGCTTCATGCGGAGTGACAGACCAGGTAGCTTCCACACAGCATTGCGCAGCCGATGAAATGATAATGCCGCCCGACTGATTCGGACCACCCACACAGTGTACACACACCATGTCTACACAGAGCGTACACAGTGTACCCGCACAGTATACAAACAGCCTGTACACACACAGTAACAAAACAACCGCCATTTGTCACTAAGTGTTAATGAGCCCGACACATTATCATAATTTATTCATATTGGTTCTTTCGGTAAAGTCACGTAGAATGGAAATAATAAAATAAAAATAAAACTATAAAATAATTCTCACGTTTCGGCCACAACGCAAGCAGCCGTCACCAGGTGAAGACCAGGTCTGTCGATTTTACCGAAAGAACCAAGAATATGAATCCCTGCAGTCACGAAAGCTTTAAATCGAAATATAATTTATTCACCATTGTAACCTCATTTGCCAGAAGAAAAAATATGATAATTGTTTTTTTACCCCTTTTAGCTGTCAACAAAACTGATCTGGTCCAACACCATGTGAGACTATGCTCTTAAGGAAAGCTGTCTTGGGTGTGGACCAATCAACTTCAAGGACAGTGCATACATTATCAGAGTTATATTTTTTGTTTGTATTACGACTGCAGGTATTGTGGTCTATGCAAACATGACTCCTTGTAAAAAAGGTGTCAGTTTTGTTGCCAGATAAAATGGTAAAACAAATGATAATTTTTCGATTTAAAGCTTTCGTGACTGCAGGGATTCATCTTCTTGGTTCTTTCGGTAAAGTCACGTAGAAGGGAAGTAATAAAATAAACGTCGTGAGAATTATTTTATTATGTTTTATTTTTATTATTTTATTACTTCCCTTCTACGTGACTTTACCGAAAGAACCAAGAAGATAAATTATAATTTATTCAAGTTACACTGCTGCTCGATAGGGGAGGGGATTGTGTGGACCCCGCAAGTGACGTCATGTCACCTCCTGCCGCATGACGTCACGGCATACCAGGAAGCTTCTGCTCCGCGCACGTTCGCGCACGGAGATCCGTGGTGAGAAGATTACATCGTGGTGGTTGTGGTTATTGTTGTGGTTGTTGTTGTGAACCTAGGTAGAGCCTCGCTCCTTCTCCCTCTCGTATGGATATCAATTGAGTAGCAGCGAGTATGGAATCGATGTCCAGGTTGGAACATTACAACGCAGGGCCTAGCCATGCGGGGCCTTGCCTCCTGCCCTCGCCTGATTGCATTTGCTTTAATTCTCAGCTTAAGTTTAATTTGTCTTCACCTGGCTCACTACTTTGAAACTTTTTTTTACTTTAAATATTTCTACGTTTTTTTATTTTACCAGGCATAGCCCACTTGAGCTACACCGCTCGTTTTCAGAAGCGACCTGCCCACAACACAGTGGGCTTATCAACGCGTGGAAATGTTTATCGGTCAAATACTCTAAACGCGTGGTGATGTTGACTCTAAATGTGCAGGGGAAAACCGCAGGATCCGGAGGAAAATCCACGCGACCACGGAGAGAGAGGGACACGCAAACTCCAAATATACAGCCATAATACAGGTTTGTTTGTGTGAGATCGCGTAAATAAATCAATGTGTCGTTAACCCCGCCACCACCCGACACAGCCAATTAGCAAGGGTTGTCACGTAAACAGAACGTGGACCATGTGTCACTAGTACAGCACTAGTGTGTAGTGTAGTGTATAGTAGTGTATAGTGTAGTGTATGGTAGTGTATAGTGTAGTGTACTAGTACAGCATATCGGTATGTTGGAGAGCCAAGCCACAACATTTACAATCTGAGTACGACGTTTTGACAGTACAGTGGTACCCCGGGGATCGAACTTAATTCGTTCCAGAAGGCCATTCGAACACCGATTTGTTGGAACACCGAATTAATTTCCCCCATAAGAGTTAATGTTAAGGACATGAATTGGTTCCAGACACAATACATCTCTCATACAGCATTTTTACACGAAGTTTACAGTAATTACATGAATAAAAAAATACAAAAACAAACACAAATGAAATAAATGAACATTGAACTTCACTACCACTAACCTTCTTAGGAGACATTGTGTATGGATAAACACCAAAAAACACTAAAATAAAGGAAATTAACTAAAAAGTTAAGGAACGATGTTTTGCCGGTCTGCACTGGGTGAGAGCTACGCGTTAACTAAGCCTCTCACACGGTAAAACATTTGTCTGGGTAAGCGTCATGCATGCTGGCCATACACGTCTCAGCCAAACAGGTTTTTTCAAGTCGTGATTGCCCGTTCGACCTCCGAATTTCGTTCGGTTTCCGGGGCAAAAAATGGTCGGAAATATCGTTCTAACACCGATTTGTTCGAGTTCTGGTGCGTTCCATCTCCGAGATTCTTCTGTAATTTCAACAAACTTCATCAGGCGACAGCCAAATGTTGTGGCTTGGCTCTGTGGGAATATAAATTGGCTCACTGGGTTCATAGCGCAGCACGCTAACTGTTGCACCACCGCTCCCCACTCACGCAAAAACTTCATCGGAAGTATAGTATTTTTCCAGTAATGACTAAGTTACCCGGCTTAGCTCAGGTCTCAGTAATTAAACATTAAGAGTAATGTCTTGCCATTCTGACTTTATTACAATTATTGAATTTTGCCAATGAAGTCTGTAAATGTGTGTATATTGTCTCGGTTTTTTGGTTGTGTTATACAATATCAGGGCTTGTTTGTTTCATAATGAGGACAACTTCTAAATCAGTGGCCCTTGGAGAGCTTCATGATAGACAATGTTGGATGTTTTGCCATCTGGTGGGTTTCATCAAATGAAGCTTCCATTTTGGTATACATGTCGACAGAAAATTTGTGGAAGAGCTCTTTGCATCTCAAGAACAGATTGAAGTTGCCGTTCGCACCATGATCCTGAAGGCAAAGCAGTCCATGGCGGAAATCTTCTTTTGTGTTGGCAAGCCTGTTGCTAGGTCCGTTTGGTGAAGTCGGAAAAATTGTAGCCATCATCACCTTGCCAGAAAATCAGTAGACATTGCAGAGCATCATGGGATCGGTGTGTTTCATTTCTGTGTAGGGTGTTGTTCCTCAGTTGCAAGACGATGCCTCGAGTGCCATGTTCAGCAGTCAGAATGACAGCGACTTCAGATGTGAGTGCATTTAAGCGGCACTCATGTTGACCATGTGGAATTTAGTCTGCATGAATGACAACATTGTAACTCTGAAGTCATTTTTTACATGGCACACTTGAAACTGAATGTAAGAGTTTTCCTTATGGAGCATGTCTTGCAACAGCAATAGGACTGGCATCTTGGTGTTTATGACATTTTTGCAATGCTGGTGAGCCTGTCTGGTATTGTCAGATATGCAAGTAGATCTCTGGTAATGTAGGTAGGTTATTAGGTAGTGGCAGCAGACTGACAATGCGAGTATGTACCTGGCCCTGCACTTAAATGTGGGCATGTAGCCAGATGTTACGATGAGTTGGTCGGTGCCAAAACATGATCATTTGGAACCATGAGTTATATTTTAAATTGTTGTTTTGGAAATGGCTTTTCAGGTATCAATACATGAATAGGCTCGGTATGGTCATTAATTGTAGGAAGCTGAACCATGGTACTGTTGCAGAATAGCCTTGGAGGGTCTCCTTTCAATGTCATTGTATGGCAGTAGCTGCAAGAAGTAGACATGGAACCAATAGCAACTAATGGATCGGTGTAAATGAAGTGAGAAATTTATGGAAAAAATACTTATCCTTTTGGCTGCAGGGTAGGCACCTGGTTGCAGCCATTGTAGTACTGTTTGCAAGCTGAGGTGCTTGTTGGCGGACTGGAGTCTATTAGCTGTTGCAACAGCCAATTGTGCTGTGTTACTTTCTGTGGAGCTTATTGCTTTTGATGAGATGCATTCACTGTAGGTGCAGGCATAGCAGCACTGGCAGCATGCCGTCTTGTTTGGTGTTCAGCAGTGTCCTCAATAGGTGCAGCCATCGCAGCACTTATACAAATAGCATCAATTATTGTAATCCGCTTTGGTGAAGAGAAGCGCATGTTTTCCGCAAGGAACATTATAGGTGGAGGTAAAAGTTAGTAAGCAGAAAAAAGCATGAATAGTGAGTGTGTGAGTAAATGCTGTGGTGAGATTATTTATTAAATTATAGTTGAATGTGGAATCGTTGTAAGAATATGAAGACATAGCTGCAACGGAATAAAGTATGAGGATGTAAGTTGTTGGAGGGAGTAATTGTTTGTAGTGCTTGAAGTGGGTATGAATAGTATGTGTGTGGTGGTGCGTATACACAAAATAAGTTGAATGTGTGTGTGCGTGCTTTTTATTCCTTACCAGGCGATCTAGACTTGATTTATTTTGTCGTAGCTGTTGCATAGCGTCTATATTGTGTAGGAGGAGGTCGGTAGTCCTGGCACATAGATGTAGATATTTTAGAATCGTACATGTCTTTTTAAAATAAATATTGCAGTGTGTGTTAGAGGTGAGCCGTGCATGTGCATAGAGGACAGTAAGGAGCTGGAAGTGGATGAATTTGGCAGCAAAAGCGCAGGTCTGATAATAGGGAAGGATAACATGGTAAATATGACAACAAATATTGCAGTGCAGACACTTATGTTATGATGAGTGCTTGGAATTGTAGTATATGAAATGTCATAATGTGTTTGCGTGTGTGGCTAACCCATGGTGATAGAAATGGAGGGGGGGGGGAGGAATGGTGGGGGGTTGGAGTGTGCAGGTGTCTGAGGTTTGAAGTTGAGCAGGTAAGCTAAAAATAGTGTGACAAACACACTAACTCACCTGTGAGTACTCATTGAATGTTTACGCTGTGTAGGTTTAATGGTGTTGGCACAATTTGGTTCACAAAAAATTTACATGCGCAAAGTCTGCTTTATTTAATTAGCTTCATACTATTTTTTCGTCTTCAATTTTTTTTTGTTTACGGTTTCTGAATGTTTATTTCAATTGTTTAGTTTTTAGTTGATTTGGAATGCACTACAGTACTTGTTTCGATTGTGATGTGAATTTTATATTCTTATTCTTGGTTCTTTCGGTAAAGTCACGTAGAAGGGAAATAATAAAATAATAATAAAAAACGATAAATATGCCTCGAAGCCCTATGTTAACCCAAAACTCGAAGCATACAATTTCGGTTGTCTGATTAGAAAATGAATATTTATGAAAGCTAAATTCAGCTAACAAAGCAAAGGGTGTTGAAAATAATACTGTTTGTATTATGCATAAATTAATGTTCAAACGAAACTTAGAGGTGTGAAGCCAGGCTTAAGTATTGAATATCGCACTTTTAGCTTTCGCTCAGCAATTTCCAAGAACGTAACCTCCGATATTCAAGGGGGTAATTTATTTTCTGTCGATCGAGTACAGAAGAGGAGTACGGATTTTTAGCGGAAACTCGATTTCTGCATTTTTTATATAATTAATGCCTATAGTATCATAAAGAGGCTTGGGGCTTTTGGTTGTTTGTTTCGGGTCCAGTTCCACTTGTTGGAGACTCAGTGGAACGTAGACCCTAGATGTAGACGAAGGTTTCTTAAGGTTGAACAACAACGCCGGTTCCTCTGGGGGACCCGGCTTATATTCTCTGCGGTTTGGCTGGCTCCCTCCCTTGGCCACGACCACTTTCCAGAATCCTCGAGCAGGATCTGGACCCGACCACGGACCACCCCTAGCCCCCACTTGGGGCCCCTTCGTAGACTTAACTGGTCACGTGTCCTCTCGGGTCAACCAGAGTGCCATGGCCTTTAGTAACCTCATTCCTACGGCCGTCACTCCCACACCCTATCCTGTAGGGCCAGCACTGCATGCCAAGCGTGGTGCCATCCTGCGCTATCAATCAGCGCTCTAGGGCTGGTACGACACCCACCATAGTGGTATCCGCGATGTCGTTACACCGCACGCCGTGCCTCTCGAGGGCCAGCACGACACAGTGACATCCCGCGATGTCACTAGATCTGTAAGAGTTTATCTGTGGGGAGCGGTGGCGCAGTTATTACACTGTGTAACAAAAAACATTTTTGTTCCTGGGTAGTGTTATTTCCTCATTGCCTATTCCTCAAAAGTACAGATTATTCCCCACAACTTTGCTTTTTTGATCAGGACAATGAGAAACGGGCTAATTTGTGTCTTTTCGTTCACATAAAGTCCTGGTCACAAAAGCAAAGTTTGTGGGGAATAATAGCGATTTTGTATACTTTTTAGGCATAAGCAATTAAAAAATAACACTTTGTACACAGGAACAAAAATTGTGTTACATAGTATTATTACTGTATTATGAATTCAATAATTTGAGTTTGATTATCTCCGACAACAAACGTGATTGATAAGTGAAAACTTAACTTCTTGTGGGTCTCGGCTATGTTGATTGATCTTCAATTAATTACTTGGTGAAGTGAGAGAAGCATTCATATTGAGCAGATGAAGGTGGCCAGGCATGGTTCTGGACACACCACCACTTTTTACCATGCCAGTGTGTAACAGTGTCAAGTTTGTATTTGCAGTAAAGTATATTAACTCTATTGAACACGGAGGTTAAATCAAAACAATAGTTTATTTTTGTTTTTCTTTGGAACTTTTTACGAAAATGAACACGACACATATGCAGCTGAAGTTAGATCTGTTCATCCCAGCATTCAAGAAAATCTGAGCCTGGCTTCACACCTCTAAGTTTCGTTTGAACATTAATTTATGCATAATACAAACAGTATTATTTTCAACACCCTTTGCTTTGTTAGCTGAATTTAGCTTTCATAAATATTCATTTTCTAGTCAGACAACCGAAATTGTATGCTTCGAGTTTTGGGTTAACATAGGGCTTCGAGGCATATTTATGACTATTTGCCCTCATTGTTTGTCATAACAGCCCGTGTGATGAATTTGGGAATATTAATAAGTGTAGACGTGTAAGTCATATGTGCCTCGATACTTACGTAGATGGTGTGGATATTCTCTTTTTTCTGTCTGCAGCTGACGTTTCCTCTGACGCTTCCTCTGCAGAATTGGTCTGATGGAGCAAAGGCACTCAGCGCAGTTTGGTACAAAAATGCAACAATGCGACCAGTGTGCATACAGCACGGATCGTCCTGGACATTTCACACAGCACCAGAGAACTCACACAGGAGAGAAACCCTTCAGGTGCACTCTGTGCGGGAAGGCGTTTGCCGAGTCATCACATCTTAAACTACACCAGAGAACACACACGGGAGAGAAACCCTTCAAGTGCAGTGTGTGTGGGAAGGCATTTTCAAATTCATCTGCTCTTAAAAACACCGGAGAACACACACAGGAGAGAAACCCTTCAAGTGCAGTCTGTGCGGGAAGGTGTTTTCACAGTCATCTGGTCTTGTATTGCACCAGAGAACACACACGGGAGAGAAACCCTTCAAGTGCAGTCTGTGCGGGAAGGCGTTTGCAGTGTCATCACATCTTAAACAACACCAGATAACACACACAAAAGAGAAACCTTTCAAGTGCACTGTCTGTGAGAAGTCATTTGCATGGTCATCAGGTCTTAATTGCCACCAGAGAACACACCGGGAGAGAAACCCTTCAGGTGCACTGTGTGCGGGAAAGCATTTGCAGGTTTATCAAATCTTAACAGACACCAGAGGACATACAATCATCAGAAGATCCCCAAGGAGTGGAGTCTGAAATCGGCTTGTGAAAGTCAAAGTGCTGCAATGAGCCCATCCCTCATGAAACCAGAACTAAATCCCAGCATGGACACTTTTAAAGGTATCAAGGTGAAATGTGAAGAGGCGAAGGTGAAATGTGAAGAAGTGATGAGCGAAGAAGTGAAGGTGAAATGTGAAAAAGTGATGGTGAAGAGCGAAAAAGTGACAGTAAACTGTGAAGATGAAGATTCAACTCCAAAATCGGACCTTCACATCGATGGGGGCAACGTGAAGCAGGAGGAGAATTCTGACTGTGAGTCAGAGCGAGGCACCTCCCAACAGTTTGTGGAAGTGGAGGTGTGGGTGGACTTCTTAGACAATGCAAAGTCAAATGGAGACCCGGTAGATGTGTAAGCTTAATGAAGCTCCAATAGATTCACCTTTGTCACAGGCCTTTAATGAAAATGAACGTGAAGTCGAACACTCAATTCCTGGGTTCAGCCTGCAGAATAAGAGCGGCGAGTATTTGTTGACCTGTGGGTTGGGTAGATGAATAATCAGGATCAAGAGACAATATGCTCCCAAGTATTCCACTGTTATATTTATATTTGCATTGATATGGTGCTTGCTTTATTGCCTTAGCAACTCAGTTGTTTCATGTCTCATCACAGACACTCGAAGAGCACCTTCAAGTGGCAGCTGCCTCTGTGTGATAAGGTGACCCTGCTTGAGCCTGCATGTGGGCATGAGTCTGTCAGTAGGGAGTGATGATCGATGTGTAATCTCCATTATGTAATTTCTGGATAATGTTTGGAATTATCCAAATATTGACCATGACCCCAACATGCAATGACCTATGCGTTTTGAATGACAATAGTATGTTTTACATCCACTGTTAAGCAGACGGTGCATATTTGGTTTAATGTTACTGGAGTAGCCAGGGGTGCCTGTCGGATTTGAGCCTTGAACCTCTGTAATAAATAGAGAATGTGCTACCACTGGGCTTCCCTTAATCTGAGTGTAGGCATGACAGCCTGAATGTTTCTAACCGGAGCAGATGTTCAATTTAGAGGGGTCCACGTTTTACATGGCTACAGAAGGGAGGGCATTACTGTGGCCGAGAAGAACCGAAGCTTCATGCCGAGTGACAGACCAGGTAGCTTCCACACAGCATTGCGCAGCCGATGAAATGATAATGCCGCCCGACTGAATTCGGACCACCCACACAGTGTACACACACCATGTCTACACAGAGCGTACACAGTGTACCCGCACAGTATACAAACAGCCTGTACACACACAGTAACAAAAACAACCGCCATTTGTCACTAAGTGTTAATGAGCCCGGCACATTATCATAATTTATTCATATTGGTTCTTTCGGTAAAGTCACGTAGAATGGAAATAATAAATAAAAATAAAACTATAAAATAATTCTCACGTTTCGGCCACAACGCAAGCAGCCGTCACCAGGTGAAGACCAGGTCTGTCGATTTTACCGAAAGAACCAAGAATATGAAGCCCTGCAGTCACGAAAGCTTTAAATCGAAATATAATTTATTCACCATTGTAACCTCATTTGCCCAGAGGAAAAAATATGATAATTTTTTTTTACCCCTTTTAGCTGTCAACAAAACTGATCTGGTCCAACACCATGTGAGACTAGGCTCTAAGGAAAGCTGTCTTGGGTGTGGACCAATCAACTTCAAGGACAGTGCATACATTATCAGAGTTATATTTTTCGTTTGTATTACGACTGCAGGTATTGTGGTCTATGCAAACATGACTCCTTGTAAAAAAGGTGTCAGTTTTGTTGCCAGATAAAATGGTAAAACAAATTATAATTTTTCGATTTAAAGCTTTCGTGACTGCAGGGATTCATCTTCTTGGTTCTTTCGGTAAAGTCACGTAGAAGGGAAGTAATAAAATAAACGTCGTGAGATAATTATCTTATTTTATTATGTTTTATTTTTATTATTTTATTACTTCCCTTCTACGTGACTTTACCGAAAGAACCAAGAAGATAAATTATAATTTATTCAAGTTACACTGCTGCTCGATAGGGGAGGGGATTGTGTGGACCCCGCAAGTGACGTCATGTCACCTGCCGCATGACGTCACGGCATACCAGGAAGCTTCTGCTCCGCGCACGTTCGCGCACGGAAGATCCGTGGTGAGAAGATTACATCGTGGTGGTTGTGGTTATTGTTGTGGTTGTTGTTGTGAACCTAGGTAGAGCCTCGCTCCTTCTCCTCTCGTATGGATATCAATTGAGTAGCAGCGAGTATGGAATCGATGTCCAGGTTGGAACATTACAAACGCAGGGCCTAGCCATGCGGGGCCTTGCCTCCTGCCCTCGCCTGATTGCATTTGCTTTAATTCTCAGCTTAAGTTTAATTTGTCTTCACCTGGCTCACTACTTTGAAACTTTTTTTTACTTTAAATATTTCTACGTTTTTTATTTTACCAGGCATAGCCACTTGAGCTACACCGCTCGTTTTCAGAAGCGACCTGCCCACCAGCAGTGGGCTTATCAACGCGTGGAAATGTTTATCGGTCAAATACTCTAAACGCGTGGTGATGTTGACTCTAAATGTGCAGGGGAAAACCGCAGGATCCGGAGGAAAATCCACGCGACCACGGAGAGAGAGGGACACGCAAACTCCAAATATACAGCCATAATACAGGTTTGTTTGTGTGAGATCGCGTAAATAAATCAATGTGTCGTTAACCCCGCCACCACCGGACAGCCAATTAGCAAGGGTTGTCACGTAAACAGAACGTGGACCATGTGTCACTAGTACAGCACTAGTGTGTAGTGTAGTGTATAGTAGTGTATAGTGTAGTGTATGGTAGTGTATAGTGTAGTGTACTAGTACAGCATATCGGTATGTTGGAGAGCCAAGCCACAACATTTACAATCTGAGTACGACGTTTTGACAGTACAGTGGTACCCCGGGGATCGAACTTAATTCGTTCCAGAAGGCCATTCGAACACCGATTTGTTGGAACACCGAATTAATTTCCCCCATAAGAGTTAATGTTAAGGACATGAATTGGTTCCAGACACAATACATCTCTCATACAGCATTTTTACACGAAGTTTACAGTAATTACATGAATAAAAAATACAAAAAAAACAACAAATGAAATAAATGAACATTGAACTTACTACCACTAACCTTCTTAGGAGACATTGTGTATGGATAAACACCAAAAACACTAAAATAAAGGAAATTAACTAAAAAGTTAAGGAACGATGTTTTGCCGGTCTGCACTGGGTGAGAGCTACGCGTTAACTAAGCTCTCACACGGTAAAACATTTGTCTGGGTAAGCGTCATGCATGCTGGCCATACACGTCTCAGCCAAACAGGTTTTTTCAAGTCGTGATTGCCCGTTCGACCTCCGAATTTCGTTCGGTTTCCGGGCAAAAAATGGTCGGAAATATGTTCTACACCGATTTGTTCGAGTTCTGGTGCGTTCCATCTCCGAGATTCTTCTGTAATTTCAACAAACTTCATCAGGCGACAGCCAAATGTTGTGGCTTGGCTCTGTGGGAATATAAATTGGCTCACTGGGTTCATAGCGCAGCACGCTAACTGTTGCACCACCGCTCCCCACTCACGCAAAAACTTCATCGGAAGTATAGTATTTTTTCCAGTAATGACTAAGTTACCCGGCTTAGCTCAGGTCTCAGTAATTAAACATTAAGAGTAATGTCTTGCCATTCTGACTTTATTACAATTATTGAATTTTGCCAATGAAGTCTGTAATGTGTGTATATTGTCTCGGTTTTTTGGTTGTGTTATACAATATCAGGGCTTGTTTTGTTTCATAATGAGGACAACTTCTAAATCGTGGCCCTTGGAGAGCTTCATGATAGACAATGTTGGATGTTTTTGCCATCTGGTGGGTTTCATCAAATGAAGCTTCCATTTTGGTATACATGTCGACAGAAAATTTGTGGAAGAGCTCTTTGCATCTCAAGAACAGATTGAAGTTGCCGTTCGCCCATGATCCTGAAGGCAAAGCAGTCCATGGCGGAAATCTTCTTTTGTGTTGGCAAGCCTGTTGCTAGGTCCGTTTGGGAAGTCGGAAAAATTGTAGCCATCATCACCTTGCCAGAAAATCAGTAGACATTGCAGAGCATCATGGGATCGGTGTGTTTCATTTCTGTGTAGGGTGTTGTTCCTCAGTTGCAAGACGATGCCTCGAGTGCCATGTTCAGCAGTCAGAATGACAGCGACTTCAGATGTGAGTGCATTTAAGCGGCACTCATGTTGACCATGTGGATTTAGTCTGCATGAATGACAACATTGTAACTCTGAAGTCATTTTTTACATGGCACACTTGAAACTGAATGTAAGAGTTTTCCTTATGGAGCATGTCTTGCAACAGCAATAGGACTGGCATCTTGGTGTTTATGACATTTTTGCAATGCTGGTGAGCCTGTCTGGTATTGTCAGATATGCAAGTAGATCTCTGGTAATGTAGGTAGGTTATTAGGTAGTGGCAGCAGACTGCAATGCGAGTATGTACCTGGCCTGCACTTAAATGTGGGCATGTAGCCAGATGTTACGATGAGTTGGTCGGTGCCAAAACATGATCATTTGGAACCATGAGTTATATTTTAAATTGTTGTTTTGGAAATGGCTTTTCAGGTATCAATACATGAATAGGCTCGGTATGGTCATTAATTGTAGGAAGCTGAACCATGGTACTGTTGCAGAATAGCCTTGGAGGGTCTCCTTTCAATGTCATTGTATGGCAGTAGCTGCAAGAAGTAGACATGGAACCAATAGCAACTAATGGATCGGTGTAAATGAAGTGAGAAATTTATGGAAAAAATACTTATCCTTTTGGCTGCAGGGTAGGCACCTGGTTGCAGCCATTGTAGTACTGTTTGCAAGCTGAGGTGCTTGTTGGCGGACTGGAGTCTATTAGC